CATTTCATTCACAATTACAATCGATCATTTTAATTTCTCAAAGCATGGGTTAACGCATATTTATTCCTCCATAATTAACAAATAATACATGTATATTTATGAACTGTAAAAGTTTGGACTTTATACCTCACATAGTTTTGGGGCTATTGTTAAAAATACATTTTGGACATGCAAATTTTAAAGTTTGCTGAAGTACATTCTCTTGCTTATATGCCTATACTCGACACTAAATCATTGAGCAGTTAGGGATCTTTTACGTGCCAGCACCTACTACGACACGGGGCCTCGGTTACACGTTTTCATCCAATAGATTGGTCTCCACGTCCCACAGCCGTAATTAAGGATTAACTTCTTACTTTGCGTCTCTCTAATGACTGCGCCACGCCAGTGACTGATTTTTCAACATTTATAGCCGCCCAATGGTTTTGACGAGACTTCTGATTGAATTAGAAAGGTAAAGATACATATACCGGTATGCAAGATAATTCATTCGATATAAACCAATTGCAATAAAATGAATAGAATATATTGTTCACAATTGCTTAATATTCAATAGTAATTTAGCTTAGTGAAGGTTAACATATTATGTTTATATAACTACACATTTCGTTTGACAAGTGTTGTCGCGTGGCTGTCGTGAAGAGTTTTATTTAATTAATACGATTAATTGCATCTGCAGGTTGACACGACGATCAATAGTTTGTTCATGTGAGTAATCTGGAAATATTTCGTAAACAGCCTAGTTCATTTGTCAACATTGACAATAAAAGTCTAATAAATGCAATATAGCTTTGATCATGCAAAATAAATTAATTGCATGTTGTTAAACGTCCTTCTCGAGAATTTTTCACTCATGTATAGACGCAACCGTTAGAGAGCTAATATTGATGTAATATGCTTAGCACTCGGACCCATTAAGCAGTATAAGAGATCTTTTTATATAGTGCCAGCACCAAGTGCGACACAGGGACCTCGGTTTAAACGGTCTCATCCAAAGGACAGTCTCCGCGTCCACAGTGAAATTCGAACGCGCGAGGTAATGATCAACTCCTTACTTCGCGACTCGACAGCAGACGCTGTAACAACTGGCAACTGCAAATTAAATAAATATAATAAAACAATTTAAAGAAAATAATAAAAAAAAAAAGAAACCAAATAAAAAAACCATCAAGGAAGTCTTGGCAGAAATTTTTAATACTCGTCAAATATCATTTACATACTAGATAAAACATTCATATTTTAACAAGCAACTTATATAGTGTCAACATGCAACATGCATGTACTTATGTTGAAATGCAACATAGTAATGATGAAAGCGAGTTGATCCTAACGTACGTCGCAGTTTCAACTTTACTGAGGGCCATATAATCTGAGGTCCCGTGTCGCATTAGGTGCTAACACAAAAACAATTCTTCACTGTTCAGTGACCGATAGTGCAGGGCATAGGTTAAAATGTGCAGCCTTCCACTGGCTAGTGCCGGTGTGGCCATATGAGTAAAAACTGTTGAGAGGGACATTACGCAACACACAGACAAAACTAACTAGCGGCAATATCTGAAAACAAACAAGCAAGGTGCAATATAATAAGGTCATGCAACCTTTTTGTATCAACATTTGACTGGTTTGGTATAGAGATAACATGCATTGAGTTGTTTGTGTCGATAGGCAACATTTCTTATACATGTATCAATAAATTGCGAGAAAAGTGGGGAAATAAATGAAGAAAATAATCTTAATCATCAAACTGCTTCGATTTTTGTAATAATGGCATGCGTCTAAATGTTGGAGACTAGTCAAGAAAGCTTGTAAGTAAATGAAAAACAAAGACACCTTTAAAGTTTTGATCATTATAACGTCAGTCGCCCGTTTGTCGCAGTGGTTTGAGCTACTGCTCTAGAGATGCGAAGTAAGGAGTGGATCCTTGCGTCAAGCGGTCGAATTCCATGGACTAGGACGTGTAGACCGGTCCTCTGGACGAGACCGTATACACCGAGGTCCTGTGTCGCAGTAGGTGCTTGCGCCATTGCACGAAAAATGATCCCTCATTGCACGATCGCGCAGAGTGTAGAACAATATTTGTAGCTCGACATAAATCATTGCCACAAGTAACTCTTGGCTGTTTAAAAACATGAATTAGAAAAGGACACATATACAGTGTATCAACTTTCATCAAATATGTAATTGATGTAGTTAACCATCCTCACAATTACATAATGTCGAATTCGGAACTCAACACAAACCCTTGACATGTCAATCGGCATAGCATACGTCCGTCTACACCGGTGTCTACACTGAACAGTGACCAAGTTTTGCCCTTTATATACGGGTTTGCAGAGTAGCGAGAATCGGGAACAAAAATGGCGGTCACATTCCTTTTACGAACCGTGTTCACCTTTAAGTAGAGGAAATGCATCACTTCAGAAACTTAGCTCTATCGGCAACGACCTTTAAACTCATTTTAATACCGACTTATTATGTTTCAGGATATAAATCCGAAAGGAACCGGTGTTATCCAAGCCGATGACATAAAGAAAGTATTGACAACGGCGTGCTTTTTCAATGATCAGCGTCTGAAACATGACAGGTTAATTGTGAGACAACAAAATAGTGCAAAATGTATTTCTTTATATGCATCTTGAAGACGAGGTATTTTTTTTTTTACATTTTACAGAGGAAATTAGAAGATAACCATCTTCTGTAAGTGAATACTAAGCATGAAACTTTTTCGACCATGTGTGTTCCGAACGAAGATGGCGTTAAGGTACATGCGCCCATAATGTATGCCATCTCTATAAGGTAAATTACCATAGTTAAGGCTTTAAATGATCGTAATTCAATGTGCGACATAATTTACACAGTATATGCTTTTTATCTTTAAAAAAAAGTCTCTTAACCATTAGGGCTGAACCGATATATCGATATGTACCGGTTTTTCTCAAATTTGAAATGTCAGTACACAACCTGCGATATGCAAGCCGAATTGAACTCGTTCTTTTTTTAACGTATTTTTGATCGGGTTCGACATCACTACAATTCGTAACTAGAAATGGCGTCTAAAAAGTCTAGATAGATCCGGGCCACAATTAAAGGGTGAAGGTCAAATGGCTAAAACGTAGCACATGTAGGAAATTCATATGCCTCCCTTTCAATGATAAAAATAAGAATAGCTCACATGTTTTAGATATTTTTGGGGTATAGAATAAAAGTAGAGTGTCTAAAGTTTACAATGATATGCAGCAAGGTGCATTTCAAGCAAAAATTATGCCTAGAAATATGAACTGAAAAGAGCATTCATTTGGTTTGTTTACACTTTTCTTGCCAAGCGAGAGCTATCCTGAGGTCATGACGTCAGAAGTTTATCAATAACCAGGGAATTCCAAATTCAACACCCCTATTTCTGGTTGTGAATATTTATCTGACACATTGCTCTATCATGTGGTCAAAGATATTTTGGAAATGAAGATTTTTAAAAAAGTTACAAAGAAAATAAAACACATGTTTTTACTATATAAGTCTATATGTAAGCTAATTGTGGTCCGGGTCCTTATGATGGGGTGTTTGAGGGATTCCCCATAATTTATTTTTAAAGATATGACAATGAAATTTTGACAGGAGGTGAGTTATACATTTTGAAATAGTTTCATAAAAATTTTTAAAAAATATTTAAGCATTTTAAAATTAATTTTTTTAAAAATTAAAATTTTTTGAGTGATTGAAAAAAAAATTAAATTATGCATCCCAGAATGCAATATTTCAGGGGAATTGATATGTCGGTGAAAGAGGTCACATTAGTGCATTCATTGACCACGAAGATAGTTCCTTTTTAAAAATAGAAAAACTGTTTTGTAATGTGTATTTGCATGTGTATTCTTAATAAGGGGTCCCTTTGAAGTCATAGATGAAAGACGAGGTGTTTATTGGAAATGACAGACAAGCTATCCATTGATTTCCCCCACCCAAAATAAGGCGCAATAAGAAGGTGGTGATTGGGCCAATATTTACAATAACAAGTGCATGGATTTATTTTGCAGGAAAACACGTGGAAATGGGATTCAGGCTTTGCCCGACTCACAATTGCACAGGCAGGCAGAGGTTGTGTATTGGAGTTTATAATTTCAGGTGAGTGGAAATTATATTATGTTGTGTAAAAATATGTACTTTTCACTAGAATAGAAATGGGGGTTGATGGGTTTGTCATTTCAAGGAAGGTGGGGGGGGATATAGTTTGTAGTTTTTGACAAAAACATTGATCAGTAAGTAAGTAAGTAAGTATGTATGGATGTATGTATGTATGTATGTATGTACGTACATGTGTGCGCATGTGTATGATGTGTCTTATGTATTTATGTGGAAGTTTTGGGTTGTGGCCTGGTGTTAATTTTTACACGTTTCTTATAATACTTTGTATAGTAGGTATCTTTTCGAATAATTTGGTTGGCCCTGAGAAGGGCCGTTTTGTCTTTGTCTTGGCAACTCATGTCTGGTAGTAGGGGTGATCCTCTGGATTGCCTCCCTTGGACTGTAGGCTGGTGGGTTTGGGATCAAGTTGCCCTTTGTTGTAGGTGCACCCGGGTTTGGTCTTTCCTTTTCTAGCCGCCGCATGTTGTTTCATTAGCGTAGCTTTTTTCTGCATTTCTCGCCTTTTAACTGCTTTTCTCTTTCTGTATTCTCTGCGATAGGCATATTCCTGGTCAATGCTTTTTAGGTACTGATGTGTGTGGCCGGACAGTGGCAATGTAATCTCTGCTGCTTTCATTGATGTTGCTAGTCCCGGACTGTTGTTTTGTCTTAAAATCTCAGCTGAGAGGATTCCTTCAGCATTTCTTGTATAGTTGGTGTGCTTAGGCAATACTTCGCTGACTGCTCTGTTAAGACCCTCACATTTCTGAGTTGACGTGTTGAGTTTCATTTCCTCAATGGCACTTTGGCTAAGTCGCATCTCAAGAATGACTTTTAACAAGTGCTTGTCATTTTCATTCAGGTGCAGGGATGTCAGTTTGTTCGGGGCGAGGATAGAAGACTGATTCCACCAGTTGTGTCTGTCTCCACCTTCACACACCACTGAATTCCTTCGACATTTTGAACAGTCTCCTGAGTAGCAGAGGATGGTACTTTCTACGACAAGAGGAAGTTTACTACAGATGATGTTGATGTCTCCAGTGTAGGTATCCATGAGTTTCTTATAGACTAAGCTGCACCGAGCCTTTACATCTTGTGCAAAAACTTTTCTCATCTGGTCTAACCTCATTCTTGTTTTGCAGGGAAACATCTCGGGGCTGAAGTGGGCACTGCGACACTGCCGGAACTGGGCTCTGCTGACATGGATTGGGTCGGCCAGTCGAGTGACTTGCCAGTCTGGATGAAAAATTCGCATGGCATCTTGGAATCCCTGGGCTTACCGGGCATCACCGTCTGATGTGGCGTGCTTCACCTTGAACCCGTCCGCTGCCAGATCTTCGCCTATGGATTTAGCCATCTCGTACTCTGAAAGAGGTGAGAACATTTCAATATTAGCTGTGCAGTCTTCATGACCCCCCGGACAATGAACATCATAACCATTACCTCGAAGCCATGTTCCAGTCCAGCAAAGTTTGTTCTGCATTGATCATGTTGATGCGCCAATAATATACTGTTTGTTGGTGTTGGTCTCGCATGCAATGGCGTAAGCTTGTGATGCATTGTAGCCTGGCTTTTTGCTGCTACCGAAGGTTATGGAGTTGTAGCGTCCATCTATGGCAATGTCCAGTTCCTCTGGATGTTCTTGACCTTTGACCTGGTTGATGGCCTTAACCAGTTGTCTCTTCTCACCCATGTCTTTTTTATTCAGGGCTAGAGTGGCTGTGTTGACCTGGTTGCTGGCCCTTTGCATGGAACTGCGGTTAGGAGGTGGAATGTCCAAGGCAGCTACCATTTCCCGACTGCGTCGATTCCCCATGGAGATGATCTGCAGGGCTAACTGAAAGTTCCAGTTGATACTGGCAGGATTAGGGCCTGGTTTGTTAATGGTAGGAATTTCAGTGTATAATTTATAGTAATTTGTCTGAAAATTACATACCGTACACAGTAGTCTCTTCTGCCATCCAAACCCCCATTTCCTCTGTCCTGAGTATTCCCACACTGGAAAATTACAGTGCTTGGCCTGGTCAAAGTGGCATTTGGCTGCATCATTAAACATTTCCAAGACCAATGTTATGTCAACAATGCGGTTTCCCTCAAACTCATAAGACGTCTCTTCATTTTTTAGCTCCTGGCATGGCTCAGGTCTGGGACGAAGGATCGGTGTCCTTGAGATGTTTTCCTGGCCTTCAGCAAGGGGATGTGCTGTCTCAGTCTCTGGGGATCCCTGGATGTTTGACGCTGAACTTGAAGCTCCTGCGGCATTTGACGTAGCCTGATGAGCCTTAGTATAACGAGTGTTCCCTTTTTTAAACCCAAAATTAAGATTTTTTCTTCTTTTACGGTCACCTTTCATTGTTTTCATGTGTAGTGAAGAGTGGATTAGAAAGTAAGATTGAATTATGACAATGTTTATTTGGACACATTTTAGTGGTATTTACTGCAATATATTCCTTTGACAATCACCTGTCAAAACAGACTCCCATAGGGTATTAAGATTACCTATACAAAGACTCTTAGCCAATCAGCTACACATGGCCCCTCTTCACAGTCAGGAAAAAGGATATGGGGGTGGGCTTAAAAATCTGTTTATTCTGAATGTTATGTACACTTTTATCAGTAATGTGATACATCATTTGATTTATGAATAAATGTACTTTAAATGTTTACCCCTATTGTCACTCTCAGATTTTCATGATAGATTTTATATTTCTTAATTTAAGAAAATTTTATGAAAATACAGGGTACAGATCATCAAATTACCTAGAAATCTAAAAATCTTGTATTTTACATATTTAAGAGTGTGTGTGTGTTTAAGAGGTATCAACAACTTACTTGTAATAATTAGTTCCTTTTATTGTCTAACAGTTTTTACATATTTCAATTTTAAAATTTCATACTTGCCATTTTTTGCCATTTTCTTTCCTGTATTGCCTTAGTATACACAATATGTAATTTTACATATAGATATCAACCAATTTCAATCAAACTTGGTATATTAGTTAAGTAGTATCTAAGGATTTCAAATATGGCCTTAAAATTTTTTAATGAATTTTATGCCTCCATATAGGATCCGGGCCACAATTAAAGGGTGAAGGTCAAATGGCTAAAACGTAGCACATGTAGGAAATTCATATGCCTCCCTTTCAATGATAAAAATAAAAATAGCTCACATGTTTTAGATACCTTTGGGGTATAGAATAAAAGTAGAGTGTCTAAAAATTACAATGATATGCAGCAAGGTGCATTTCAAGCAAAAATTATGCCTAGAAATATGAACTGAAAAGAGCATTCATTTGGTTTGTTTACACTTTTCTTGCCAAGCGAGAGCTATCCTGAGGTCATGACGTCAGAAGTTTATTAATAACCAGGGAATTCCACATTCAACATCCCTATTTCTGGATGTGAATATTTATCTGACACATTGCTCTATCATGTGGTCAAAGATATTTTGGAAATGAAGATTTTTAAAACAGTTACAAAGAAAATAAAACACATGTTTTTACTATATAAGTCTAATTGTAAGCTAATTGTGGTCCGGGTCCTTATGATGCTGGAATTATTTCAGTCATTTAAGCAATAGAAAAGCGAAGTGCAATCTGTGTTCGGCAGAGGTGGCAACTTCTGGAGGAACTTCAAATATGCTATTTCATTTGAATAGACACCACAGTATTTCATTGACCGTTACTACTCCCGGCGTGAGCCGCGTGGCAACTCGGGCTTCAGGAGATGTCGGTATGTACTATGTAGATCTCCGTAAGTTTATCGTTATCGAAACATTAAAAAAGTATAACAGTTTAAAAAGAAACTTTTCTTTTTTATAAACGTTTATTATGATTGCGATTAGATATTGTTGTGTGCAGGCTACCTCAGTAGCATCAGAAAGAGTCTTTAGCACAACGGGTGATATTGTGTCAGCAACTTGTGCATGCCTCAAAGCAGAAAATGTCAATGCTCTGGTTTTTCTAAAAAAGAATATCAAGTTTTGAACCTTTGATAATATTGTAATTGATTGTGAGAAGTGAAATTGGATATATAGCTGCCATAATGATTTTGTTGATTATTTTTCTGTTATTTTACTTTTTCTCAGGAAGAAACAAAACAAACTTGTTTTTTTTTCATTTTGTTTATTGTTATCTGTTTTTGTATACAATTCTTCATTAAATAAAAATGAATTCCAATATATCGTGTATCGTAAAATTTAATATCGTATCGTATCGTATCGGTTTTTTTCAGACCAATACACAGCCCTAGAAAACACTATATTTCAATATTTACATTTCCAATGTCTTTGTCCGAGATAAAATTTCCAAATGTAAATGTACTTTATTTCCCCATCAATGTATTGGCGCGGTTCCAAAAAAACCACGTGCAGGGCGGGACAAACAGCTAGACAGAAGCAGGGCTTTGAGCGCGTGGATTGGCGGATTCAAAGGATGTAAATATAAGGAATAACTGTCAGATTTTTCAATTTCATGAAGATGATCAATCGATTGGCTTGCGTGATAATTCGGCGTTTATGCAAATTATCACGCAAGCCAATCGATTGATCACTTCATGAAATCGAAAAATAAGACAGTTATTCCTTAATTAGAGATTATTTTTAAGCAAAGGTTCGTCCAACTTAAATAATGTAAGACGTAACTGATAAGGACTTTAGTCACTGTTATGATTTTAAGTTTAAATACCGTATAATTCATATTAACCGCCCCTGCCCCTATAACCACCCCAGGTCTTTTTTAATTTTCCGGAAATAACTCCCCCCCTCCCCCCTCCCCCCCCGGTTACCTGTAATGAATATTTTAGTCGATCAATAAGTGTTGATGTTCCTGTAAAAATGATAACACACGGAACTTCTAGTCCACCCATGTCTATATCATACGACCATCGATGTTTTCCTGCGACCACACACTGTATTTGTTCCCCCATGCCTAAGAAAGAAAGCCACAGTTTAACCGATTTCTTCGGCACGTGTACTGTCTGACAATGGTGCGTCCACACGCACTGCATATTTGTCGACGGGTTAGTGCATTTCTTTCCGAGTATTTAATGTTTCTTTGGTAACTGGATTCCAAATATCTTTGTAAACATGAAAACCTCTTAAGATAAGTCACTCGTCAGCTTTTTAGAAAAGTTCACGCAGAAGCTTTTACTTCAAAATTACATATTAAAATTCAATTTTTATAACATATTTAAATTAAACAATGTACATTTTTTAACATTCAATGAAAAAAACTGCTCAAAATCTACAAAGAAGCAAGATTTAAGAGGGACTATTTCTTTTGGTGGAAGGATATTTAGCAGAAAATTCTGCAGATCTGCACATTTATAAAATTTAATGTAGTGGAAATTTAGCCTCACATACTTTTACTCGGAGAATATTTTCCGTTTTGATATTGCTAAAAATATTTAATACAGGTCTTAATTAATATTTTTAGACAAGTTTTACACCTTCCCTCAACAAACTTTTCCAAAAAATGAAAATACATTAAAGAAGTCAAGATCAAATGTACACCATTTTTTACCCGAAAATCACATATTTTGACAAATATTTCAAAATTAACATTACTGACCCCACCTTTTTCTTTCATTATTTTAAACTACTCGATACTTGTGACTGATCAGCACTTAAGTCATAAAAAGTTTGATATAAGAAAAATTTTTATTGCCTATTAAGTTTTTTAATACCCCAAATATGTTATTTTTTAGTGCAAAAAGGTCACACAATAATTTACGCGCATTAATTTGCAAGATTTGTTTAATGATAAATATTATTCAAACTATCTTACGTAAAATAAGATTATATTTATTGCCATGCTTACATCTGATCAAATATAATAAGGGTTAAAGTAATTAACCAAAGAGATGAAATGTAAGTGCAAAAAGGTCAAATTAAATGTACCATAGATCAGTAGGATGCACACTGACCCCCAATTTTCTTTGCGATTTTGAGTTACACTTTATGAGTACTTATCCAAAATATACTTCTCAAAAAATCCTTGATTTAACAAATTTCAGGTGTGACTTACCTTAATACAAGAATCGCATCGAAAAATTGAAGAATGTGAAAATGAAACACGCGGATGTTGAAATGTAATGACATGAATTGACGAGAATTAATAACAAAAGACTGAATAAAAGCATTACACAGAAGCTCTATATGACTTAGTGGTCTACAGAAAGTTACAAAGTCCACAGGGACAGAATGTGAATGAAGCTAAATATACAAAAATTAAATTATCCAGGTCCTATCAATGGTGTTCGGGGATTTATCCCGGGTTTTTATTCCATACATTTATTTCCTATGTTCTCAAATAATTCAACGGTGTTTAACCACCCCTGTCAACGCGCGATCGGCAACGCTGATGCGATCGGCAACGCCGATCAAAACATTGAAGAAGAAAGTATTGTAGGGATAAATTTAAATAGTTTTGTATGTGCTGGAGTGTAACCAGCTGAAAATAAATAAGAAAACATTTAATTTAGATAATTATCTACAGTTTAGGATTTACCGAGAGTAAATTTGTTTCACAGTTTCTGTGCAAATGCTACCGATCAAATGGACAATGTGCAAAACATCAAATTTCCATGCTTTGAAATAGTTTATTGTTGTTATTACCTATCAACATTTGCTGCTTTTGTTATGTAACGGTTCTTCGAAGTATGAAATAAATGATTTTAAAATTAAAACTACATACATTATCTTAAAACAAGTTTTAACTGGAAAATTTGACAACCGCGAGGCGATTGTCAACGACATGTATGTTTTTATGAAGCGATTGTACAACATGGAAATAGCGATCGTACAACACACGAA